CTAACACTCGCTTATCATCGAACCGATAAAATTAGGTTAAAGATCGCGCCCGTCCTTCGGCAATTGCGTTATTCGACTGTAAAAATCAAAAATTAGTCGTATTTTATCGTTTATCTTCATAAAACGTATTTGTAAAATGTGGTTTAAACTAAGTATTATATTTCTGTTTCCGGTGTGGGTTTGTCTTCGGTTAAGCCCGCTGTCTTGTTTTTTAGTAGCTACTCCAACGCCGTATCCCTTCGTAGGGTGCGCTGTGTCCTTTTTTTTTATTGCTTAGATAGGTGGACGAGCTCACAGCACACCTGGTGTTAAGTGGTTACTGGAGCCCATAGATCTACAACGTAAATGCGCCACCCACCTTGAGATATAAGTTCTAAGATCTCAGTATAGTTACAACGGCTGCCCCACCCTTCAAACCGAAACGCATTACTGCTTCACGGACGAAATAGGCGGGGTGAATGGTAACCTACCCGTCGCGGACTGAACCTCCAAGAGGCTCCTACCGACCAGTGGAAAACTTTCCACTCGCTTGTTTCTAAGTCCTTCGTAGGGTGCTGAATATCTTCGGCAACATATTGCTCGTAAAGAGGATTCAGAATGCTAGAACAGCCTGATGGTCGGGAACAGGAAAGTTAGGATGGCAAAACGTCCCAGAGGCAACGCGCTCACGAGATCGTCCGGACCAATACGATGCTTCCTCTGAAGTCAAGCAAGTCGTCGTGGCCTAAAGGATAAGACGTCCGGTGCATTCGTTGTTGCGATGCACCGGTGTTCGAATCCCGCAGGCGGGTACCAATTTTTCGAATGAAATACGTACTTAACAAATGTTCACGATTGACTTCCACGGTGAAGGAATAACATCGTGTAATAAAAATCAAACCCGCAAAATTATAATTTGCGTAATCACTGGTGGTAGGACCTATTGTGAGTCCGCACGGGTAGGTACCACCGCCCTGCCTATTTCTGCCGTGAAGCAGTAATGCGTTTCGGTTTGAAGGGTTGGGGTAGCCGTTGTAACTATACTGAGACCTTAGAACTTATATCTCAAGGTGGGTGGTACATTTACGTTGTAGATGTCTATGGGCTCCGGTAACCACTTAACGCCAGGTGGGCTCGTCCACCCATCAAAGCAATAAAGTGTTGACATGTGTCGCAATCCTGACTGATTTCCGGTGCTAAGCGTCAAGCGTTCCAATTAGCTGGTCTCCAGCGAAGGGCCTCACCTCCTGAGGGCGACGCAGACGTGCCTGACGATCTGCCGCGCGGCGCAGGTCTCGTCGTCCGACACCCTGGACTCCTCCTCGTCGGAGCCGAGGATCGGGAGCGTCGATATCACGTTGTACAGCTTCCTCAGACCGTCCTGCGGATCAAACACTTGGCATTTGGGAGGTGGTAGGAGAATATGCGTTAACGTGGGGTCTCTCACTAGGGGTCACAGTGATTCGACAGATGGAACATGGGATATCATTAAAACAAGACGTAAGAAAGAGAAGGAAGCTTTGCTATCTCTCTCGCACTACAACAGCGTGTCGTCGCGGACTAAAGGGTAAGACGGCCGGTGCATTCGTATCGAGCGATACGACTGTACCCATGTTCGAATCCCGCAGAAGGTATAATTTTCTTTTTAAATATGTACTTAAAACATGATCACGAATGAATCACGGTGCAGGAATAATATTGTGTAATAAAAATCAAACTAATTACTGGCGGCAGAGCATCTTGTGAGTCCACACGGGTAGGTACCACCGCCGTGCCTATTTCTGCCGTGAAGCAGTAATGCGTTTCGGTTTGATGTATAGAGCAGTTGTTGTACTCTCAAACTGATATTTAGAACTCATGTCTCAAGCTAAGTGTCGGCATTTGCTTTGCTGATACCCATGGGCTCCGGTAAGCGGGCCGTGAGCTCGTCGGGCCGGCGCCTCTCACCTGGTTATCGAACTCCTCGAGAATGACCCGGAACTGGAACGAGAGGCCGAAGAACATGGTCGCGTGGCAGCGGCCGGAGTCGTGCGAACATTCTAGAAGCCACAGGGCGTATCTAAATAGGAAACATTCTTTTCTTTTCAAAACGACAACCTTACGCTTAGATTAGTACGCGGCTGGTCTTCCTAGGGCGACCTCTTGGGACCTTAAAGCTTAATCAGAGCTAGTGTACTGATGGGAGCCGTGGAGGATCATCAGCGCCATCCAATTGAGACTTCAAGCTCACGCCTCTGTGACGTCTATAAGCGCCGGTACCCACTTTCTAGCACCATGGCGAGTGGACATGCACACGATTAAACATAGCTACATCACCATGCATAATATACATATTGTTACACCGTTATGAGCAACGCCATCTATCGTCTAATAGCAGAAACGAATATCAAAAGAACTAGTGAAATCGAGAACGATCGAGAAGTACAACGCCATCTATTGTCAAATAGCGGAAACATATCGAAACTACTCGACTTGTCAGGAATGTTCTCGATAATTTTAGGGATGTCGTATCGATTATAAAAGCGTTCCTTAGATGACACGGTGGCAGCTAGTAATCGGTTCTACTCGAAGCGAAACAGCGAACGGATCACTTGAAGTGAAGCGGAAGTAGCGATTGAGAATTGTTTAGTCTCTGTTCTGTTTTGTAAGTGTTCTAAGTGTTAAATGGAGTTTTAATTTAAGCTTGGGTGGAAGATTTATTTATCCCGAACCTCAGCGCGTAACAATATGTATATCAGTGCACGATCTTGTTAGCTTTAAATCACAGCCCACTGAGTATCACGCCGGATCTTCTCAGTGGGTCGCGTTTTCGATGCGGTGGTAGATTCTGCGAAGCACTGCTCTTGCTAGGGCTAGTGTTAGCAACGTTGTCAGGTTAGAGTCCCGTGAGCTCATCTACTTGCTCGGTGACACTGGCATAGCCTCTAAAGCTTAGATAGGATTTTTTTTTGAATCATTGCCTTTTGCAATATTAACGTGGGTATTTAGTACAAATTTTTTAAACGTTCTCGATAGCCTAAAAGTTAATGTCGAATTCGTATGGAGTTAGAACAGCGCCCCTAGCGGCAAACGAAGGGAAGCTCTTCCGATGTTCTTCTCTTCCATACTAATACATAAATCTACAGTGGTTTTTACGGATGTTCCGTTATAATTACTGAACCATGCATCCGATTGACTTGAAACTTGGTATCCATGTAGAAAATACATATACTTAATGGATAGGCTAATATTTATATGAGTGTTGGACTCTCTACACCAGTGGCAGGGGCGTTAATGATGAGAATCTTTGTGGGGGATGAGAAATAATGATGTTAATTTTAAATGCCCAGCGAAGCGGACGGGTACGGCTAGTCCATTTATAAAACTACATAATATAATTACAGGGTACACTCACTGCACTAAGTCCGCTAAAGTCTTCCTCGGCAAGAGGCAGACGCGTTCCATTGCGTCCTCGCAGTAGGCCAGGTAGTACAGGCAGATGGAGACGCCGGTAGCGGCGACGGATGGCCTTGGTACTTCTAAGAATTTCTGAAAAAGAAACCATATTGCTTCGTGATAAGGTTCACTGTGAATTGATATTCTTCTTTTTTTTTGCTGGTAGCCTTGAGAGGCTATATCAGCGTTAACGTAGCGTGTAGGTGAGCTCACAGGGCCCAAATCGGAAGTGTCACTAAGCAGTGCTTTGCAGAATGTACCACCGGATCGGAAACGCGACCCACTGAGAAGATCCGGCGAGAAACTCAGTGGGCTGTGTCTGAGGGTTAATTTACTCGTCGAGCCCTTCGTCGCAAGCGACGGGTTCGGCTAGGACGGTGACCGGTGCTCGAGGTACCTAAAAGCACCGTTAGTGGATCGGGAGGATCCGAAATGACTTGTTTAGGGCTATCCTCCTAATAACAGTTCCTTTGTACTAATATTCTCATTTTCTTTACATTTGGCGCTGGCGGAATGTAAGTCTCAATGAGTTGACGTTACGTGCACCTTTTTAAGTTCGGAGAACCCGTAATGAAAGAACACTTGATTCAGAAACTTTAGTTGAGAGTATTTTTTCCCCTTTTTTAATAAACACTATATTTATTTATTTATTTATTGCTTAAGTGTGTGGACAAGTTCACGGCCTTCCTCCTTGCGTGGTATTCCTCACTGCTGAGGGTCGTGACCCCCCCTTTTTTTATCACCTTCGCACGCACGATCTTTCTCCATCTATTCTTGTCTCTGGCGGTGTGGAGGGCGGTGTGAAACGTGGAACCAAGAGTGCAGAAATAGGCGTGGTGGTGGTACTTACCCGTGTGGACTTCTAAGACGTCCTACTACCAGTAAAGACTATATTATATAGCTAGTTATTCTAACAGAACACTATATATAGTTTCCGGTTAATATATCCATGGCGGAACACCCTGTATGTGTATTGCACATCGGTTTGATTCTCATACCTGCGGACTTTTCGTGAAATGACTAGTGAAGTTGTAAGATTTGTTTTATTTTGTCTACTTAGTGTTTCTTCAGGTTTAAATGTGTAATAACGGTGGTTTATTAACTGTTTAGTATCTGTGAATGTGCACAAATGTGGGAAAATGAAACAAAGCCGCTGAATGTAACTTCTCGGGATCCTCCAAAAAGTCCACTGAAAATATCTTAGTAAATGACCACCATTTTACTGAGATTATATTTCATCCCATCATTTCATTTTTCACATAAAAAAGTTTTCAATAAAATTAAAATAAGATTTGACCTAAAGGTCTTAGTTACCACGTCATAAAATTAAAAAAAAAAACAAAAAAAACATACCTGCAGCCCTCCCATGTTTATAAAGTCTATCGAGAACTTCTTGTGGCAGAGGAGCGCCGCCAAGTACTTTAGGGCTTCGAAGGCCAGACGGGAGTCTCGGGACTCCCGTACATTGAGGTACCCCAGGATCAGCCCTAGGGCGTTCTGCTCGAAGACATGTGACAGAAACTGAAAAGACGAAACGTATGGATGAATAACGGATATGTAGCTAATGACTGAGTGAGAGAGATAGGAGATGCAGTGTTAGATGTGTAAGAGAGACGGTGAATTAATGTGTAATTTTACCGGTGGTAGGACCTCTTGTGAGTCCGCACGGGTAGTTACCACCACCATTGTTTCTGTCGTGAAGCAGTAATGCGTTTCGGTTTGAAGAGCGGGACAGCCGATGTAACTATACTGAGACCTTAGAACTTATATCTCAAGGTGGGTGGCGGCATTGACGTTGTAGATGTCTATGGGCTCCGGTAACCACTTAACACCAGGTGGGCTGTGAGCTCGTCCACCCATCTAGGCAATAAAAATAAAATGTTTGACATATAGTTTTATTTTAAGCGACAGGACGAATGAGGGTAGTTTTTCAGATGTAAAGGCGGGTAGATGTAATTTAACTCGCAATACGAAAGACGCGTATATTTTATTTACTTTGCTATAAGAAGGACGGAATTAAAATCAAGTTTATGTGAAGCAATTAACTGTTTTATTGGTCTGATTCGAATAGATACCTGTCATCTCCCACATATATGTATGTAATGAAAAAACTTTAGTATTTAAAACCTTTAAAAACTCTTTAGTTTTAAAGAAAAAAAATTTCTAAGACAAAATCAACCCTCTGTCATTCAATGAAGAGAGTTCAGTTTTGCATAATAATATGTATAATAATACTATTAAAAATATTAATTTAATAAGAGGCTTTAATTATTTTTTTTATTATAGAAAACGCAATTAACTCATTCATTATTAATCCATTGTGGAGTATTCCATTTCATTATATGTAAATGTATGTATATGTAATTATATAATTATAATTAAATTGTGTTTGACATAGTTTCTTTATAATACTAAGTTTATTTGTTTTAGAAAGTAGGTATACGACCTCAAAATCAAATTTGAAGTAGCTAAAAGTGCCTATGTCGACACAACGTGACATCCGTCCCCCAGCTTGAGACGTGAGGTCGAAGACTCAATTGTACCGTGTAGCGACCGGCCCGCGCTTCGGACTACGCACGACAGCTTGGTGGCAGAACTAGGCAGGAGGCTGGCACTCTGACTGACGCCGTGACGAGGGTCGCGGGTTCGATCCCCACATCGGGCAACACACAAAATTGTCTCCTTTATAGTTCAAGAGTCTCTGGTTTCCACAGCGCAGGGGACTTTGGTTAGGGGGACGGACGACAGAGTCCTCCCGACTATAATGCGATCTCTGCTAGTAAATATTGGATTATTTAATTCAAAAAATGGCAACACAGCTCACTTCTTGATATTCTCCCATCGGCGTCAGGTACCTGAGTATGAGCATCTGCTTAGTGGCGTCGGTCGGCGGGTGTATCTGTATGTTACCTGGATTGGAATAAAAAATATATATTGTTGTATGTAAAGAAAAACCTTTATTATTTCAAACTCTTTAGTTTTTAAAAAATATTTTTCTTTAGTGTCATTCAGTGTCATAGAGTGAAATCTTATAATGATATTTGGGTACTTTTTTATTGCTTAGATGGGTGGACGAGCTCACAGCCCACCTGGTGTTAAGTGGTTTCTGGAGCCCATAGCATCTACGACGTAAATGCGTCACCCACCTTGAGATATAAGTTCTAAGGTCAACGGCTGCCCCACCCTTCAAACCGAAACGCATTACTGCTTCACGGCAGAAATAGGCAGGGCGGTGATATCTACCCGTGCGGACTCACAAGAGTAGGAACTCTTGTGAGTAAATAAATAAATAAATATAATTCAATTGACTATGTTTTGCTTAAGACAGAAACTTCGCATGGTACTGCGTCGCATCGCATCGCTCAATGAGGACAACGGCCAAGACAAACCTATGACGTAGGTCTCCATCTCCGCCCAGCTCGAGTTGGAGGAGGTCTCGTGGTTGTGGTGCGCGGAGGGGGGCGGCGGGCGCGGCGGGGGGGACATCATGCCCCACGCGGGGGGAGACGCGGCGCTGTCTGGGGGACACAATTGACGTTAGCAAACGAAAACGAATGACAGCTGTTAGGAGGGAGGCGCCGCTCTTCAAGAAGCTTGGTTGGTAAGTGTGATGGCGTCTACGCGCCTCCATTGGCTCGGCTCTGTCGCAGCACGAAGTTAGCCGAGCTCCGATGCCGCGATCGTACTGCCATCTCTACGCTTAGCTACCAAACTAATGACCGTCTCCGACATATAAGTATGTATGTCAGTCTTTTTTTTTTTAGGGATTTTATGACCTGATAACTAAGACGTTTAAGTCATGTCTTATTTTAATTTATATTCTTATTTTTATGAAAAATGATAATATGAATTGAAATGAAATGAAGTAAAGATGATTAATTTGAGACATTAATCAACTGGGATGAAATTAAATGAGATGAAAAGAGATGAAATATAATCTCAGTAAAATTGTGGTCATTTTATTACTGAGATTTTTTCAATGGACTTTTTGGAGGCTCCCGAGAAGTTACGTCCAGCGGCTCTGTTTCATTTTCCCACATTTGTGCACTTTCAGAGATACTAAACAGTTAATAAATTACCGTTATTACACATTTAAACCTGAAGAAACACTAAATAGACAAAATAAAACAAATCACACAACTTCACTCCTCGCGTTCCCGCCAAATAGTCCATATGTCAGTCTCTGGTGCCCGCAACACAGACAATCCTAATTTGGGGCCGGATGACCGTGCGTGTTCCCACTTAGCTATCTACTTTGAAAAAAAAAAGGTAAATTATATAAGGCGTGTCTACACAGAAACTCCTCACTATTGTAATTTTTAACCGGCGTCTCGGGATCTGTCGTGGGCGGATCGTCGACCGCCATGTCCTCGGCGCCGCCATCTTTGTCTTTATCTCGATCTGTCAAATTAAAATAGACATTACTGTTTTTGTCTTTAATAATAATATAATATTAAAACAATAATAAAATAAGACCACGCTATATTTATAAACATTAACAAAAGCAAAACATTTACTGTCTTCTTCACACTCATAAGCTAAAGTGCGAGAGAGAGAGAGATGGGCAGACTTTTCATGATGCGCATGCAGTGCGACGTCACGCCACGCGCTTATTCACATACACTACACAAGCGCAACGTGTGAATGTGTTGAACGCGATCTAAACGTTAGGTTTTATTTTCGTTACGAAATTTCTTGATTCGGTTGCCGCGCTCAAAGCCCGCGATAAAAGCTATCTATGCATTAGCTTAAAAATTCAAATTGTTTCTACTGATGAGCACTAAACCAAGGTCAATAGTTTACTTAACAATAAAAAAAGCCTTGTCTGTTCATACCGAGACAAGAGGGACAAGTGTGTGATAGGTACCTGGTTCTCCATTTTTCTCTGACCCCGGTCCGTTGCACTTTATATCGTTATTGCGTTTCTTATCGAAGCGCGCGAAGTGTCTCGTCTGACTGGGCGGCGTTACTTGACTGCATTGCTGGGATCAAAACAGAGAAAACATTAAAACTTTAAACGGAGACAAACAAAGCTTACAGCATTGCTAATAGTGTCTCTGTAGACACCGGAATGAGGTGGGTCGACGAACTGGTCATAATAACTGGTAAGGACTGGATACCAAAGGCCAGAGACCTTGAAGAATGGAGTACTTGTGAAGAGCCCTACACTGAGCATTGGGCAGACACTGTAACCATAATAATGATAATAAGTGTTTAATACATGATAATAACAATAAAATCATTTATTGCCTTCACATAGATTTATATTAATACAGGTAGGTAAATAAAAGAAAAGGGCTCAGCTAATGATGTTCAAAGTGGATGTATCGGACAGTGCTGATTTTCAGACACCCCTATTCCCCTATGGTTTATTGCGGGTACTAAGGCTAGGTACGTATGTACTTACTTAAAACATGGTATAAACTACAATTAAAATAAATAAAACAAAAGATAAATTAAAAAGTGAACCCAAATCTGAAGTCGTCGTGGCCTAAAGGATAACACGTCCGGTGCATTCATATCGAGCGATGCACCGGTGTTCGAATCCCGCAGGCGGGTACCAATTTTTCTAATGAAATACTTACTCAACAAATGTTCACAATTGACTTCCACGGTGAAGGAATAATATCGTGTAATAAAAATCAAACCCGCAAAATTATAATTTGCGTAATTACTGGTGGTAGGACCTCTTGGGAGTCCGCCCGGGTAGATACTAGCGCCCCGCCTATTTCTGCCGTGAAGCAGTAATGCGTTTCGGTTTGAAGGGTGGGGCAGCCATTGTGACTATACTGAGACCTTAAAACTATATCTCAAGGTGTGTGGCGCATTTACGTTGTAGATGTCTATGGGCTCCAGTAACCACTTAACACCAGGTGGGCTGTGAGATCGTCCACACATATAAGCAATAAAAAAAAAATACACTACTACAAATATGATTACAGCACGCTATCTACATATTAATAAGTGGAGCAAAAACTTTGTATCCCTTTTTACGAAGATTGCCTGGACGGAGGAGTATGAAATTTCCCACACTTATAGAGAATATAGATAAGGAGTGCAGAATACTAATATTTTCTTTAAATTATGCATAATCAATACATTAAATCAATGAAAAAAACATTACACACACTACCATCTATTTGACACACACACACGCATATATACTCTTTTGTTTATTAAAGTTTGTAGTCAAATTGAGAATAAATTAGTATTGTTTGTTTTTTTATATTATTTGTCTATAGTGTAGTCTTGGCGAAATCTATGATTATAGAAGTACTAGCTGACCCGGCAAACGTTGTGTTGCCTTAAATAAGATTTCTAGGGAAATTCTACTGTAGAAAAAAAAACCTCATTTAACCACATAATACCTCATTATAAACAAAATAAATATATCCAAAAAATTAAAATAAAAAAATAATGTTTGGGGTGAACAACCCTTTTCACGTAGGGGTATGAAAAATAGATAGTAGCCGATTCTCAGACCTACTGAACATACTATTACACAAATAAAACCAAAAAAACATGGTTGAAAAATGTATAGTGTTGTATAGCTCTCAAATATATTAAGTGTATAATCTATGATGTATAGTGAGTAAGTAAGACAAAATGTCCCCATTTTGGCGGGAACGCGAGGAGTGAAGTTGTGTGATTTGTTTTATTTTGTCTATTTAGTGTTTCTTCGGGCTTAAATGTGTAATCATGGTCGTTTATTAACTGTTTAATATCTGTGAAAGTGCACAAATGTGGGAAAATGAAACAAAGCCGCTGGACGTAACTTCTCGGGATCCTCAAAAAAGTTTTGAAAGTCGTCGTGGCCTAAAGGATAAGACGTTCGGTGCATTCGTATGAAGCGATAGACCGGTGTTCGAATCCCGCAGGCGGGTACCAATTTTTCTAATGAAATACGTACTCAACAAATGTTTACGATTGACTTCCATGGTGAAGGAATAACATCGTGTAATAAAAATCAAACCCGTAAAATGATAATTTGCGTAATCACTGGTGGTAGGACCTCTTGGGAGTCCGCACGGGTAGGTACCACCACCTCGCCTATTTCCGCCGTGTAGCAGTAATGCGTTTCGGTTCGAAGGGTGGAGTAGCCGTTGTAACTATACTAAGACCCTAATTAGAACTTATATCTCGAGGTGGGTGGCGCATTTACGTTGTAGATGTCTATGGGCTCCAGTAACCACTTAACATCAGGTGGGCTGTGAGCTCGTCCATACATCGAAGCAATAATAAAAAAAAATGTCCACTTAAAAAATCTTAGTAATGACCACCATTTTACTAAGATTATATTTCATCACATATCATCTCAATTCATTTCATTTAATTTCGTCCCAGTTGATTAGTGTCTCAAATTAATCATCTTCATTTCATTTCACTCCATAGTATCATTTTTCATAAAAATATGATTAATATCAATTAAAATAAGACATGACTTAAAGGTCTCAGTTACCAGGTCATAAAATCTCTTAAAAAATAGTAAGACAGGAGACCGGCTTCGTCCTCATCCCCACTACGTGATGTTTGCTGGATGAGTGGTGACACCTGGCGGGGATAGCTGATCGATTGATAGTTGATCAGTAGTCGACCAGCGAGGGCGGGAGATCAAATTCAATTTAAAAAAAAACATAATTAAAGGAACTTGAAATTATAAACTCTGAATAAGAATTGATCGTACTACAATTATAATATTTGATTGCCATCTTGCAACCTTATTGCGGATTTGTGCATAGAATAAAAAAAATATTAATCGGGATGGAAAAATAGGGGTTGATCGTATAAGAGTGAGAATTGACATTAATATGTTTTTATTTTATTTTAAGTAATGAGAAAACAAAATAAAAAACTTGACAAAAAAATTAAAGTTTCTAATTAACAAATTAAAAAAAGGGGTTGATCATAGAGGGATGAAAAATTGAGAGTAACATCATACTTTTTATTTTAATTCATGACAAAATAAAAATAAAAATGAAAATCTTGCCAAAAAAATTAAAGGTAACAAATAAAAAATAGGGGTTGATCGTAGAGGGGTGAAAATTTCAGAGTAATATGAATTTTATTATTCTACGTCATGACAAAATAAAAACAAAATTCTCGCAAAAAAATTTAAAGTTTTTAATTAGCAAATAAAAAATAAGGGTTGATCGTAGAAGGGTGAAAATTGAGGATTGTATGTATTTTTGTATGTTGTATCATAAAAAAATAGAAATTAAAAATGTTGTCTAAAAAATAAAAATAAAAATTTAGGGGTGGACTACCCCTAACATTTAGGGGGATGAAAAAAAGATGTTGGCCGATTCTCATAGATACCGGATAAGCACAAAAAATTTCATTAAAATCGGTCAAGCCGTTTCGGAGGAGTATGGCAACGAAAACTGTGACACGAGAATTTTATATATTAGATAATAATAGTCATAATAGTCAATTAATTATAGTCGAATTTCGACTACCGGGCGACCACTAGTTATAATAAAATCTTATCATACGCTACTGCCCATTCTCCGGTGAATCCCTTCTCATATGAACACCTCCAGAAAGATACAGGGATTACATTTCCTAGGCCACACTATAAGACCGATCGGATACTCCTTACCTTATCATCTTGATTTTTGTTCCTCAAGCCGTGCAGCCTCCTCAACATGAGAGGAACTAACATTGCATTTAGGTCCCTGAAATAAATAAATAAAATCTTAATTATATTGGTGATTTAATCTCGATTTCAGATTAGTAATCATTTTAGCGGTAGATATAGATACTGATACAAACAGTTTTCCTATATAATAATCTTTCAATCTCCAGTTTTTTTTGCTTAATTGTCGATAAAACTCGTAACTGCTTCACGGCAGAAATAGACAGTGATGGTAATTATCCGTGCAGACTCACAAAACGCAGTAATAACGTAGACTTCAATTTTTTCGAGTTTGATTTTTATTATACAATTTTTACTAACAATCACGCCATGATAACCGGTCCCGTACTAAGTTCGTAAAGAACTTGTGTTACAGGTATCAGATAACGGAAATAAATGTAAGATTTTTATTATACACATACATATATTTTAATATGCATCCATAACCCTGGAAAAGACATTTTATATTTATCATACAAATATCTTCCCTTGGCGGGATTCGAACCCGCGACCCCCTTGTGTAGTGACCATGTCACTTACCACTACACCAGACGGCCGTTGACATGATAGTTGGAATGATAGTTCTTCATTGTTATAGTCATTCGTGAACATTTGTTAAGTACGTATTTCATTAGAAAAATTGGTACCCGCCTGCGGGATATGAACACCGGCATAGTTGCTACCAATGCATTACCAGTCGTATCCTTTAGGCTGGGTGGAATTAAATATTTAATTTAAAAATTGGCATTATTTGAAGTGGAACTTCTTTTGGCGCGTTGAGAGGAAAATTTAACACGTGACATATTTGTTACGGATAGAGAAAAAAGATACAATTTAGGACGAGCAAGAGTGAGAGAATAGACAGCGTGTCTCGCGAACCACTCGACCGTGGAGAGAGGGAAATGGCGAGCTAGGTCGTTTCTTTTATACACAGTATTCCCTATTACAATAAAAATTTGATTTAAGGATGAAAAATGAAGTAAACCACAATACTACACACCGCAAAAGAAGTTTCACTTCTTTCACGTGCACCAAGTTGCAGGCGCACCATTTTTTATTGTCATCATTTTATTTTTGAGGTCTTGTGAAGTTTTACCGTTTCCTTCATCACGTGTGACTGAGTTTAAGCCGTAAAAGTTCTCTGAATAATATTTATATCAATGCGGTCACATATCGTCTTTTCGCATTAAAAGTGTACAATTTCCAAAAATATTCGAAATTGAGTTAATATGCGGAATCATTTGGTATCACCAGTATCTTTCTCATAAATACTGTCAAAAGAGCGTAGTTTAGTTTTTATTTTAGTTTACCTATATTTTAAGTACTATTAACTAAATTAATACATAATTTTATCTTACTTTAAAAGACAGATAATGTAACTGGTAAAAAAAAAATGTTGCAAAGATGATTAATATTTAAAATATCATATGGTAAACCTTTAAAACACTCTCCTGTAAAATTAGTAAGTTTTGAGATTTATACAGTTTGAATACGAGAAGACGATATTACAGTTCTTAGCACGGACAAATATGGCGGATGGGGTTCTCTTGTAAAGACTCACCTAAAATTAGTAGCTATATCCTGCACCTCCATCGCGGCTGCGAGCAGGCCCGTGGCGTAGCACTGCAGCGGCTCCGTGGAGCTGGTCGCCCAGTTCACTAGCCTCTGTATCAACGCCTCGTTATCCTGAAGTATGAAAAACACAATTAATTTGTATAAAATTCAAATAAAATCAAAACCATTTATAATTCATCTCCACTATTAAAGCAGAGCATTTAGTATGTGCATCGTAACACACAAAAACTAACTCTTTTTATCAAATTAGTATCCATATCAATATTATAAAGTGTGTGTATATGTATATGATTTTTTCTAAATGTTAGTATTATTCAGCGTGAAGAATCTCATACTTAAAAATCATCCCGAAATACATCTACTTCCCATAGGAAACCACACCGACACTTATTTTGACCACGGGGCTAAGTCACGGATAACAGCTAGTATAAAATACCAATGACTTGAATTACAGGTCTACATTATCAAGAAGTGACCGAGAATCTGTACATCAGCTGATCCTGATAAGGATCCCTAATATTTTTCAAAAAGATTATAGCCTAGGTCACTCGGGAATAGTGTAGCTTCCAAACAGTGAAATAATTTTTCAAATCGGTTCAGTAGTTTCGGAGCCTATTCAATACAAACAAACAAACAAATCTTTCCTTTTTATAATATTATAGTATAGAAGTATAGATAGACAAGTCTTTCCGTTGAAATAATCTTCAAAAACACACCTGAAATACGACGCTCATTTCTAATCCGGGCATCAGGTCTAAGGTCAGTCTGCACGCAGCAACATTCAACTTGTGGACATCTCGTCCTGTGATATTCTGCCTTGAGTAGTATGTGTCTCGGACGTAGTCATTAACTAACTAGAATAATAAAAGCATTGTGTAAGTTTTTTTCACCTAACTATAATGAGATTCCTGACGATACTGGTATTGGTGTGTACCAGGACGTGAATCCTAATCTTTATAAAGTCCAACCTCAAAACATCCAACAATACTATCATTCTATTTCTTTGTTCTAGTTTCTTGGCCTGGATCACAATGTTCTCAAATGCATTTTTATTTTATAGTTTGGTTGTAACTTCAGGGTTTTTTATTATGTAACACTGTAGTGCTATCTCAGCAGGAGCAGAGGTCTAGGCAAGATGGTATAGGTCCACACCACCATCTTTACTTCTTGTCATAAAGCATTTATGCAGTTTGACTTAGAAGTCAGTAATTGTACGGATGTTACAATCAAATTCACCTCCCAGTATTCCCGAACTGCAACAAGTCACCTTCAAACTATGTTCGAAAACAATATCGACGCTTGAAAGGCAAACGTGACTAAGCGACAATAACTGCATTGTACATAAATGATAGACAATAACGATATTCAATGCGCAAAATATTTCTAGGTCTATTAAAATCATTTCAATCCTACAGCTAGATTCGTTAAAAAATATTTTTTTTTTCAGATACTTCAACTTTAAATTAGCCTACTATAAAGTTCACGCATCGTCGCTAAGTCACGTTTGCCTTTCAAACGTCGATATGTACATATATTATTCAGCATTCAAACAAAAAAAAACTATTGTTTTTATTCAAAACTAAAAATGGCCCTTAAATTTTAAAAAATCAATAGGATATGGTAAATCCATACCTTAGTCATAAAATTGTCTTTCTTAAACATAACTTTGAGTGCATGTCCCAGAGCACACTCTGGATCTGTCCTGGATGGATGTCTCTCGTCAAACGGGTCTGGGTCTTTTTTCATGAAATTCTCTGTCTCTGCTTCTATGATCTCCGCTATCCTATAGCATAAATTTAGAATATTTTCTGGATAAAGTAAATATAGAGACCTATTTAAATATTAAGAAATACAATAAACAACTAGTTTCAAATATGACTCTACTTTTTAGGTTTAATCTATTACATTCTTTGTTTTGTTTTAAAGGTTACATCCTCTAGGTCAACGGTCCTCTATATAACGGAATATTTGGCAACTTTAGAAGTATAGAAGTCCATCTCTATGATTAGACATATATGATTTAATTGAAACAGGTACACTTGAGGTAATACATTACTTAAGGGTATGTGTAAAGTAGTAATATTAAAGGTAATCGGTTAAGTAATTAGTGAGCCTGATTACTGAATCTTATGGTTCAGGGTCATGAGCAGTTTGAGTTAGTATTTTTATTAAAGTTGTTTGGTATCTAGAATCCAATTCCACAAGTTATCTCATTCACAATTTCCAAGTGGCGAAACAGGAGAAAGTATACTCTGGGATAAAATGTTTAATTTAATTTTTACATAATTTATAGTCAAATTTCAGGATATTAAGTAGGTGAGCGGTTTAATTAGCCATAGCTTACACTGCTGTATTTGATACATAAAATATTGTAATTGCATATGCTTTTAACCCAGTCACTCAGTATATGTAGCTAATCTGATCTAAGTAAATTTGTTTTAAGTGGAGCAGTACTGAACTATTCTTAAGATATCAATTTGCATCAATAAATAGTAAATAACATATTCTATTAACTAATTTTAAATTGTTCATGACATTTAGTAGTAAAAATTATCTATTGCTTTTTTTTATGTACAATAATAACAAATCTTATAAGGGCATGATATCAAGCGATAGTACTTTAAAATAGAAATAGAAATTAAAAATAGAACATTCGGGGCATAGTATAAATATATTCAGCTAATCCACACGTGTGAAACATACGTTGTGTGTATCAATGTGGTATTAAATTCCATAGTTGACAAAATTTTCAAAATATAAACATACCTCGTCAAAGTGGGTATAGGATCGTAATTTGGCTGCGTATGTTGTTCCTCCCATTGCCTCAACAGTTCTGTTACCTCTTGAGCCGGTGGCGAATCCATTTAACTAGTAATTTTACAATTAATCTGTTTTCCTAACCTCACTCTTGTATCAACTATTTGTCATTTGTTTGGAAAGACAGTTTATACATGTAACTTATCTCTATTTTATCAAAAAATTATCCCAAAATTTACTTTTAAATTATACTTTTTCATTTATATAAATAATTAAATTTACAAATATAGGTATATCTTTGATTTCATCAATTTTTCTGTCTTTGTGCCGCGCACCACTGTTGCCGCTGGGCCAACATTGGGTTGCCGTACTGGAGAAAAAAATCTACCGTATTTAAACAAAAATTGCCGTACAAAATAATTCAAAGTTTATTATTATTTATTTCTAGATTAGAAATTAACATAATACATATTTTTCACTGCTCTCTTCTCATCAAATCTGTATTATTGCCTAAAGTAAGTTCAGTTTCAATAATCTGATCTTTTCCGTAATTTGATTGTATATTTTCAATTTATTGATCATTTCGGGGATTGGCTTAAAGCTCGTACATTACTATTTTGCTAATATTGTTCCATTTATGGTAGATGTTAAGAGGCGGTTTCTTTGTTTTGTTTTGATTAGGTTTACTGCACTGAAGATTCTTTTTTATACACATTTTATACACTATCTCATGTATCACTACACTGCACTTTTTCAAAAGTCAAAATGAAGCTACACTTGCTAGTACAAACAATGAAATAAGAGCGAGGCGGCCGCGGCGAGGCGACTTGAGGAGACGACTCGAAGAGCAGGCGTTGTAGGTTGTAGGGAATTCCCCGTACCAAACATAAAACATTGTCTATTACAAGAGTTGGATGCGCTTATGTTTACGCAAAAAGTATTCACGTTCTGTAATCACTTTAGATACATTAATTGTTTTTTTAGCTTTATGCTCTTGTTGCCGTATTTTAGAATACGGCAATGACCACTCTGCCGTATGCCGTACAAATTTTCTTTTAGAAGCATGATTGCCGTACGAAACGGCAATTGCCGTACATTTGGCAACGCTGCCGCGCACTATGGCATTAAAATTTTATTTTTGGGATGCCAAGTTTTGAAATTAGAAACCCGAGGTTTTAATATAGACTCGAATCATTCAAGACAGTAAGGGTTAATGTAGTTTTCTCGTATGTGTTTTTAAATAGTTTTAAACTTATGCATATAAATATATAACAATTATTTCATTTTTTTTTTCGCGAGCTAAAGAACTCATTTGATACAAAATATTCTCTATGCTCTCTCTATTTCTTTTGTAAGACCTATGAGTACTGTTAATTTAATAAATAATTTAACTTTTTTTGTACTAATCCTGACCCATAGACTGTTTGAAATACCAGATAGATTTTTAGATTAATTCGTCAGGACTGCAGGATTGCCACTTGCGGAATTTTGCTTGTAACAAAGTAAGATTTATAAATTAAGTCGAGTGTATGTGTCAGCGGAATGACACGAATAATTAAGTGAAATACTACAATATTGCCAAAGATTTATTTTGTTCCAAAACGAATCTAGCAACCTAGGCTCTGTAAATTTGGCCCCCTTTTTTTGATTTTCGGATTTTTTTTATTTTTAATTATTTTTTCGTCATTTGTTCGTTAATGAAATTGATGTTCGAAATTTTAAAAAAAATATTTACGTCTATCTTAACTTAATTATTATTATCGAGAAGTATCTTGATTGATATATATATTTTTTTAATTTATTTGTTTTTTATGATCAATCAATCACCAATAGTCGTCGAACAAACGATAATTGATCAAAATGAATTAATCTGAGCGATAAAAATAATGATAAGTAAGTAAGTAAGGAGGGGCAACTTAAGGGTGAATTTTGTTTCATCATGTTTGTTTCAACAGTCATCGAACAAACGATAATTGATCAAAGTGAATTAATCTGAGCGATAAAAATAAATATATGTATCTAGTAAGGGGGGCCCACTTAACGGTGATCATTTGTTTAATTAATTATAAATAAATAAAAGACGACCAAACAATTTTTACATTCGAACATTAACGAACAAACGACGAACAAATAATAAAAAAAAAACCGAATATCAAAAAAGGGGGGGCCAAATTTACAGAGCCAGCAACCTATCATTTCGAGCCCGCATATTTTCAAAAAGAATGGCATATTTTTGCATTTTATCTGCACAACATGCTGTTAGAATAAGATTGTGTTTCAGCAAATTACAATTTATTGTGGTAAATACAAAACTAAAATTATGTAGGTACAAAGTATCATCATTTTGGAGGTAGAATCCCTTTTTCAGTTTTAAAGTTTCTACTATATGTTCTAACCTCTGTTTATACTTTTTTAAGTAATCTTTTTAGAAGTTTGTACTGAACCAAATAAATCTTGGAAGCTTGTGTTACTTTTTTGTATGACAACATTACAAATACAGATTACCTACTTTTTTCCTTGTTTCACAGATAATTAATAGTCAAAATGCTTAATAGAGATTACAGTTTTCGGCAAAATTCACTTAATCAGTTTTTATAGTAGATTTTGGAAATTTTCTTTCACAGTAGCACACTGACTACCTACTACAAGAGAGACTATTTGTGTTTTTAAAATACTTTTTCATAAGATATAATGTGCTCGTCTATAAAATAATCCGTAATTTAAGAATTTCAAAATAACTTTTAAATAATGTAAATCTAGAACAAGTATGTAACTTTCATAATTTTATGTATTTATTTTTTGTTTTTAATTCATATTGAAGATAAATTGGATGGTCGTTCATAATAGAGATCAGTAACTTTCTTGCTTTTAAGTTTCTAGATAGATAAAGTTACGCAAACTGGTAATGAACGCAGTAGCTTCCTGTAAGACCACAGAGTAGGGCAATGAACTTTGCTCCATTGATGCAAAATATGGGAGGGAAAGTTCTTTTTTTAGGATTGAAGGATAACTGTTATCTTGAGAGTCATTCCAGCTTCGTCAGGATGAGCGTAAGCTCAGCTAGGAGGGTGTTTGGTATATGGTTTTCCCAAGCGTTGACCATTCCAGGTACATACTATGTGCGATGTTGCATAACTTCGGTGATTGGACGAGAACCGGTAAATTCAACATAGTATGGAGAGTGGAGGCTGGCAGAGTTGAGGTAAAATAACCGTCGTTCTCGTAGGGCTCACCTCATGATCAGAGGAGTCCGCGTCGAGATCGGGGCGACCGGGTTATGGTACTTCGGTCTCGTACTGGAAGATCGTAGGAGTTTCCGCATTTACTTCGAGAATTTGGGTAACTTTTGACGCCATCTTTGAAATTAAATTAATTCCTATAGTGGCGCTACCCTAATTAGTTGTTTTTCGACTAACATTTTTTCATACACAGAGTGTTCTCCTCATGTCTAACCTCCGTAATGCGATGGTAAAATCGAGACTTTTCTTTATTTATTTAGAGTACATGGCTTATCGATTACTTGGTCATCTTGGGATCTGACGGTGCAGCCTATCTTATGAACATAAATCATTACCTATCATTACTAAACGTAGATCATAACATCCGCGAAACTAAAAAGGCCTTCGGGGTCTTAGTTCAGTCATTCTTGATTCATAAAAGATTCGGGCTCTGGGACTTAAGATGTTTGATGATGTTTGAAGTTTATTGTTATCGGTTTCATTCTTAGCCTTCATAGTATCAAAATTTGACAGCAAGTGAAATATTTAATGGAATTATCATTTATTTGTATAGGTATTGTATATTTGAGTCGACTATTATCAAAGCCGGCAATGTGACTTTTGGACAATTATTGGTAAATCAGAAAAACGAATTATTGACTTTGTATTCCATTGGCAGTCACAAAACTCTTCTGAACGACATCTTAGATAAATAACAGGTTAACTATTAACCTTTATTTAATGCAGGTTTTGAACCGTATTCTTTGAAGGAGACGATTATATTCAAATCAATCTGTATTGACATATCAATAACATTTTTTTGTCCAAATACACAGATTGCCACCTTTGATAATAGACGACTCAAATATCGTTGAAATTTTTGTTAAAGACCCGAGCGGAGCCGGTGCGTGACGCTATCTAACAATAATCTTAAAGTTTCATAACGGTAAGTAAAGTTTAAATGAGTGAATTTTCGAAAAGTTTCAATAGGTACGGTCAATGCAATCGGTACTAGTAAGCTTAGTGTTAAAAATGATTGAATTCCCGTCCGCGCGTACCTTTTTTTACCTAGGTACGGAAAAAAAATATTGAATCGAAATATACATAATAACATAAATAAACATAACAACATAAATAAATTTGAGTGTTTTTTTTAATGCTTTATTGGGTGAACGAGCTCACAGCCCACCTGGTGTTAAGTGGTTACTGGAGCCCATAGACATCTACAACGTAAATGCGCCACCCATCTTGAGATATAAGTTCTAAGGTCTCAGTATAGTTACAACGGCTACCCCGAAACGCATTATTCAAACTGAAACGCATTATTGCTTCACGGCAGAAATAGGCAAGGTGGCGGTACCTACCCGTGCGAACTCACAAGAGGTCCTACCCCCAGTAAAAATATGTTAATAATAAAATAAGTGTTATGGAAGATGCGTTTATTCACGCTTACATCATCCAAACGAGAGTTTTAATAAAATAAAATAAAAGGCTTTTGTAAGTTTTATTCATTTATTTCATATCATAAATAGGTAAATATGTTGAGGATATCACAATTTGTTTTGTTCACTTCCGAATTATAAACTTAAAGCTAAATATTATCAGTAATATAGCCTTTCGAGATTACGTTTATAGTTAAAAATAATCTTGGATAAGAAACACCATAAACACGCGTTACCGGTAGTTTTCCAATTACAGCACAAGAGCGCATTATGCGGCATAGTGCTCAACTAAGCTTCAGCATAATTCGGCATTGTGCGTCACTGAGTCGCATTATGCTCTGTAATTGGAAAACTACCACCATAAGCCTTGTGGTCTTAGTTAATCTACAAAAACGCGAAGACATTCGATAGATAATCTGAATATGTTTACGCAAGTAATCTAACATAGAAAAATCATTTTGGATACACATTTTATTAATTATCTACAATCTACATTACATATTTACAATATTATCACTCATATTTAAAATGATACTACTTAGAATTTGTTTTGTATTTTCATATGTATCGCTTTTTTACTATTTTAATATTTTTATTAATTTTTGTTCACTTTTGAGGTTATAAGCATTTTGTTCGTTATTTTAGTGGTATGTACCTAATTAATGTTGC